CCGAAGTCGGATGCCCAACTGACTGAGCCACCCAGGTGCCCCTATCTTTATTTTATTTAAATTTTTAAGATATCATACAAAGTGTCTTCTCTAACCACAACAGGATGAAGTTAAAAAGAAATGAGCTATCAAGCCATGAAAAGATACAGAGGAACCTTAAGTGCTATTACTGAGTGAAAGAAGCCAGTCTGAAAAGGCTACTTATTGTATGATTCCAACTCTATGACATTCTGGAAAAGGCAGAACTAAGGAGAGAGTCAAATCAGTGGTTGGAAGGCACTAGGAGGAACAAAGGGATGAATTAGGTAGAGCACAGGGGGTTTTATGGCATTAAAACCAATTCTGTCCAATACTGTCATGATGGAGACTCGACATTACTCATTTATCAAGACCAATAGAATGTAGAGCACCAGGAGTGAACCCTAATGTAAACTATGGATTTTAGTTAATAATAATGTGTAGTATCAGCTTGTCAATTGTAACAAGCGAATCACACTGAGACAGGATGTTAATAAAGGAGAAACAGGAGATAGGACAATCTATTTTTTTTTTTTTTTTTTTTAATGTGTATGTTTGAGAGAGAGCGAGACAGAGCATAAGCAGAGAAGGGGCAGAGAGAGAGGGAGACAGAATCCGAAGCAGGCTCCAGGCTCCGAGCTATCAGCACAGGGCCCAATGTGGGGCCCAGATCCACAAACCGTGAGATCACAAACTGAGCCGAAGTCGGACGCTTAACTGAGCCACCCAGGCACCCCTGCAGTCTGTTTAAAATTATAGTATTTATTCATGTTATAATTTTTTTTTATTTTGGCAGCTAAATATTCTATCTGAAACTAACTGTAAAGAAAGAGAGCATCAACGTCCCCCCCGCCAACAGTCAGACGTGGTACATTTCTGACAGTCACTGTTAAGGCTAGTTTGGTGGAGTAATAGATCAGAACAATAGGTCAGTAGGTCAGAAATCATTATGGAAATGATTTCACTTTAGTGCTGGATCATTCCTGCTTACTATTCCCTCGCAATCTAGCAGTTGTATCAAGTTATTTTAAATTTTTTCTGGCCTTCTATGGTTTTTTCTTAGACTCAAGTGTTCCCACATGCCAGGGGGAGTTGAGGCGTTGGAAGACTGGTCACTACACTTTGATCCATGACAACAGCAAGACTGAATTTGCCCTGGATTTACTTCTCTACTGTGGCTGTGAAGGTAAGAGTCAGGAAGTAACTTATGGAAACCAGTGAGCTGTTTCCATAAGAGGGGCAGTCTCTCCCGGTGATGCTCTCCACCTGACCCAATTCAGAAGTGATGTACCTTGGCCAGGATCACAGATCACAGAGGCACCCTGTTGGAAGGGATCTTGGGGGTCATGAACTTCAGTCTCCCCAACTCAAAGGATTTCTATCTGTGACTAAGGTATGGGGGATGTGGACCAAAATAGTTTCCCTCCAAGAACCCTCCCGCCCACTCAGATCTACATCTTTTATGTAATTTTCCTTCCAGGTGTATTTTACATTTAATTCTTAGTTTTCACTCCTTATTCGATGCTGGTTGAACAGTAAATTCCGGCTTATAAGCCATAGAGTTGGTTACCACTAAGGTCCCAGATCCCCCAGTCGTAGAGCAGCCTGGTATGGGCGATGTAAGTAGATGATGGAAGTCTTGTAGGAAAAGCTTTCTGAATGCTGTTTGTCTTCCCTTTGTAAGGCTGGGAGCCAGAATATGGTGGCTTTACTTCCTACATTGCCAAAGGTGAAGATGAAGAGGTAAGTTGCTTCTGATAGCAAACTGTCCTTCTTCTTAAGGAAGCTTTCATTCTTCACACACCCAATTTTTATGACCTTCTGCCAGTGTCCTTAGCTGATAAGTGCATGATGGTCTGCCTGGCACTGGTTCTGATTTCTAGTAGTAAGTACTCAGCAAGGAATAAAAATGCGAAAGGGTAATCACTAGGCATTTATTCTACCCTATTGAGAAATTCCATAGAAGTTAAGAGTTGATGGTGCATTCCCATGAAATCTTTGGATATAGTAAGGAATAAACGCAGGAGGTAGAACCTTTCTGGGTATGTATTGGAATGGGGTCCGTTGGGAAATGCCTTGACAGCTAGAGCAACAGCGCCTCCTCGTAAAGGATCTTTTAAAAGATCCCCTGTCACCAGTCTGAGTACATGATGTGAAAACCATCTGTTCCGTGGTGAATCGTTGAGGAAAAGAGTTGAGAATAAGTTCTGTGCTCTGATGTGACACTGTATCACTTATTTCAGCTTCTAACAGTGAATCCGGAAAACAACTCTTTGGCACTGGTCTACAGAGATAGAGAGACTCTGAAATTTGTCAAGCATATTAACCACCGAAGCCTAGAACAAAAGAAAGCCTTCCCAAATAGAACAGGTTTCTGGGACTTCTCGTTTGTCTATTACGAATAACAGGGCTGAGCCAAGCTGAAGAAAAGAGACCCTTCCTCAGTACCGGGGAGTGCGGAAGAGTTAGGCATCACGCGGAGAGCTACAAGGTGGCCTGTGTGACCGTGTCTTCAAAACTGCGTGGTAGGACTCATCGTTATTGTCTGCAATCTAGGCCTTGAGCTTGGAGCCAGGTATTTCTCTCTTGATAAAAAAAAAAAAAAAAAAAAAAAAAAAAAAGCTTTTTTGTCTTTTTTTTTTTTTTCACATTCAGTTTTTCATTTTCCACATGGACTTCCTTAGTGATTTTTAAAAAGCTTTTGTGTGTGGTAAAATACACACAACATAAAGTGTACCATTCTAACCATTTTTAAGTGTATACTTGAGTGACATTAAGGATATTCACATGGTTGTGCAGTTGTCACCACCACCCATCTCCAGAACTTTGCCATCTTCCCAGACTGAAACTGTCCCCACTAAAGAGTAACTCCCCGTCCCCCTTCCTAGCCCCTGACAGCCACCATGCCACTTTCAGTCTCTGTCTCCGTTCATACAAGTGGAACAATACAATATTTGTCCTTCTGCAACTGGCTCATTTCACCTAGCATAAAGTCTTCAAGGTTCATCCATGTTTCCAGTGAGTGTTTGTTTTTTAATACTCATAAATGACTGCTGATTCTGTCCTTCCTAAGCATACCGGTTTAGAAAGTTACAGAAACTTCTGTCCTGTTCTGGGTGGGCTCATTATACTTCCTCCCAGTGCCCATGGCTTTGTTTCACTGTGACTCCCTTAGGACAGTGTGGACTTAAATGATGATGGTATTCCTGCCTTGGTAAACACCGGGCCCCAAACCACATGGCCCCTGAGACTTCTGAGTGGCTGCTTGTGCCATATGTCATCGTTCCTGGGGACCCACTGCTTTTCCATCCTAGAGTTGTGGCTCCTGTATAACTAGATGATTCTAGCCTCGCATGTGTCTTTCCTGTCCCTAAATACTCTCGGGTCAGCTATAAAATGAGTTGCCTGTTTTTCTTTAAGAGAACAGATGCTAAAGGCCACATCAAAATGCCAAGAGGCTGTCCATTTTGTTACATTCTCTTCCCTGAACTGGTGTGAGGCTTATGTGACAACTACCACCTATACATGGGGGTGTGTACGAGGGAGGGTAGTGGTCGCCGCGTCGTTAGCTGCAAGATGCTGTTCTCGTTCCAATACTGTCTTCTCGTTTCCTGTTTTTTTACATTGATTACCAACTGTTACCGTAACTTTTATTTGGGATTTTATTAATCAGTAGGAAAAGCATTGGGCTTTTACCTTCTTTAATCTCCTAATACTTCGAGTACTCCCTCTAAAGTTGGCATTTAAATGAAGAGAATGAGGTTCACTTCCTTTAGGTTGATGGTTTCAAGATTTCTTTGATTTTGTACCCCAGATAGATAGTATCTAGATAGATAGGGATAGCTATCTAGAAATTTTACACATGTACGAATATTCAGTATTGTCATAAAACACTAATTTTTCTCGGGTGAGATGAAAAAGAAGTACCTAGAACTAGCTCTAACGTCTTCCCACACACACACAGTACCGGGCCAGTTTACATGCATACTGTTTATTTGGTGTTTTTTCAGTTTATTTTGAGAGAGAGAGACAGGGAGAGAGCCAGCAGGGGAGGGGCAGAGAGGAAGAGACAGAATCCCAAGTGGGCTCCGCACTGTCAGATCCATGAGATTGTGACCTGAGCCAAAACCAAGATTCAGACACTTAACCGACTGAGCCACCCAGGCACCCCCTACATGTCTGCTGTTTTGGAGACCAGAATTCTTTCACCACAGGGGCGCCCGGGTGGCTCAGTTGGTCAAGCATCCGACTTCAGGTCAGATCATGATCTCACAGTTCGTGAGTTCGAGCCCCGCATCGGGCTCTGTGCTGACGGCTCGGAGCCCAGAGCCTGCTTCGGATTCTGTGCCTCCCTCTCTCTCTCTGCCCCTCCTTTACTTGTGCTCTATTTCTCTCTCAAAAATAAATAAACATAAAAAAAATTTTTTTAAAGAATTCACAGCACAGTGACACGTGGGATTACAACAACTTTGTAAATAATGGCTTACATGTCAAAGTTTGCCTTTTCTTTTCAGTTCCTACAGACTGAATAAAGGTCATCCCTACAATGTTATTTTCGCTCACTTGCTTTCTGATGTGTTTTCATGAGCAGGAGAGAGGGGGATGAGGTTCTAGTGAACAATCTGTCGGTAGCATAACTGCAAGTGGAAGGCCCAGGGGAAAGCGCCAGGGCTCTTGGAAAAGAGATACTCATGGCCGTAGGTGACATCTAGGAGGCCACCCCACTTTTCCAATTCTGGAGCGCTCAGTCTAAGCATACGTACAACGCAAGCGTTAAAATGTGTTTATTAGTTTCTCCTTAACCTCAGTGTGTTTAAGGTCTGCACCACAGCAGAAGCTTCTGTGCTCTATGCCAAAGGATCTCGCCGTCCGAAGGGAGAGAGTCCTGGAGGGCCAGGCTCCGACGTTTCCATCAGTTACATCATCTACAGGAAAGATGGTGTGTTCGCAGGGCACTTTTCTGCACTGAAGACACTCCGTGATTGAGAAGCTGGTTTTCCTTAGTACTTCATTCTTCACCTGGATTTTTGGGGCTTAAAGCCAGTGTCAATAGTTGTGGCAAAAGAGGAACTGAAACACGGGCATCTTGTAAATCCTTCTTTCAGGTAAGAGCTGTTGATGTTCACCTGTGTAATAGATGGTATCTTCTCTCCCAACAGTGAACCTCCAATTCTTATCGTTCCTTTTAGCAAAGGAAGATCATTCCCCCGCCTCAAAGAGAACAGCTTTATATTTTTTCAGATTATATGAATAATACACGTTCGTTGTGAAGAATTAAAACATGTAAAAATAAAAAGGCAAGCTCATCTGGAGTCACGCCATCCTGGCACAGCCACTGTGGCGCTTTGTAAGGTACTGACTTGGCTAACCTAAACCACATTTCCCAGAATTCCGTTCCCAGTCAGGGTGAGCCACAAATTCTTGTGCAAGATCTGGGGGGCCCAGATGAGGCGGTAGCCATTTAGTAGCTCACCACGTTGCTTAGCCAGAAGCCCACCTCCTGGTGTGAATCCGCATCTGGGCTGCAACTGTCCCAGCTGCCCCTGGATGTTCAGCATCTCCGTTCGAGGTCTCCCTGCCCGTCCTCTGGGCTTCCAGTTCCCGCACGAGACAATGTGCCTCACAGAGACTGCTCTGCCACTTCCTAGAGCTGCGTAAGGTCAACCCCCCAGAACAAATCCCCTTTATGTGTTAATAATGACGGACATTAAGAACATTTTCGTAGTTATTTGGACAGCATATTAGCATTTCTGTTAGGAGGAAAAATAAAACGTTCAAGGAAGAACCCTATAATAATCTAACTTCAGTACACTGTTTTAAAGATGTGGAAAATGAAGCCTAGAAGAGAAAGGGGCTGTTTTTTAACCTGGTTTTGAACTTGGCTTTCCTACTGCTCACCAACCACCTTCCAAACTCTACTGAATGTGGTGGTTTCTTTTCTGCAGGGGGGAAATAAAAATCAATGCCTGGGCTACCTTTCCTAGACCAGCATTTCTTCAGCTAGGAGTTCTGGCTGCCAGGGTCTCTTCAATATCATTATGTACTTACTCGTATATTACTCAAACTGAGTGAGAAAATACAAACCCTGTTAAAAGGGTCACCCTTTGTGACACCAGAGGCAGGCTCTCCAGCCCTAATGAACAGAATATTCCTGCAGAAACACACGATTTCCTTCTCTGATTGATGCAAAATCAGTCCACATAGACAGCTCTGAAAACTACTTGGGAATTGTCCATGTGGCATCGTTTTAGGAAAAGCAGATTTCTGTACCATACAAATAAAAAGATGAGTCAGGAGCTACAGCATCTAGTGTGGGCAGGGGCCAGATGGGAAAGAGGCAAAATGCAAAACACCAAGCTGCAATGGGTGTCTTACTGTACTTTAGTTTCAAAGTGAAAAGTGGAGATAATTTAGTTCTGTGATCACAGGACTCTGCACTGGCAGATCTGCAACTGCTAATTATAAAATTTGAAACATAAATAATGTTAGAAATCATCCTTGTAAAGCACTTCTAGGGTTGCATAATTGTAAAGTCCCTAGTTCTTTGATTTTTGAAGCCACAGATGGGCTGACTAAAGGCAGGCGATTCCACAGAAAGCAGCGGGTGCCTCTCTGTGCTCGGGGCACTGGCTCGGCACCATTGGGAGGAGAAAGGTGATTGAGACGCAGCCCCTGTTCTCAGTGGAGGATTAACATTTACCTAAACACAGAATGTAATAAGGGTTAAAGAATAGACATGGGAGGGGAAGGGTCTCCTGAGGAGAGAGCATTTGAGCTGAGCCTTGATGTATGTGGATAGGCAGACATGGTGGGAAATGATAAAAACCATACTCTCTAAAATATTGAGTACCGAGGTGCCTGGGCGGCTCCGTCAGTTTAGCGTCTCTTGATTTCGGCTCAGGTCATGATCTCACAGTTCGTGGGGATCAGGCCCCACATCAGGCTCTGTGCTGACAGCGCAGAGCCTGCTTGGGATTCTCTCTCTCCCTCTCTCAGTAAATAAACTTTAAGAACAATAAAAATAAAAAATATAGAGTACCTTAATCTGGATGTGGGCAGGGTGACTTTATTTAAAAGGATGCTTAAAAAATGACTAAAAAGCTTTCTCCCAGATCCCAGAATCCTCAAGATCAGCTTTTTTTTTTTTTTAATGTTTATTTTTGAGAGAGAGAGAGAGAGCAAGCAGGGGAGGGGCAGAGAGACATGGAGACAGGCTCCACACCATCAGCACAGAGCCCAACACGGGATCCGAACCCTCGCCCCAAGATCAGTTTTTTTTTTTTTTTTTAATTTTTTAACATTTTTATTTATTATTTTTGAGAGACAAGAGTGTGGGCGGGGGAGGAGCAGAGAGAAAGAGGGAGACCCAAAAAATGAAGCAGGCTCCAGGCTCTGAGTTGTCAGCACCGAGCCCGACATGGGGCTCGAACTCATGAGCCATGAGATCATGACCTGAGCCAAAGTCGGACGCTCAACTGACTGAGCCACCCAGGTGCCCCCCGAGGTCAGCTTTTAAATGAAAGCTCAGTGTTCACTTAAAGCTTCAATAAAATTCAGCAACAAAATAGAGCTTAAGCCGTGACATTTTAGAAGGCACTCAGATTCTATCAGGATAGAAAAATGTGACAACAAAAGAGAAATAATTGATAACCATTTTTCTCATCCTTAAGTTGAACATGGTGACTTCTGAGAGGAAACAGATGGTAGAATGTTTTATGAACATTTTCACCTGATCCAGTCTTTACATGACTGGGAACAGTCTGGAATAGCAGGAGGGGCCAAAGCGCCTTGGTTTCAAACCCACACCACGACTCACCAAGCTGTGAGACTCTAGAAAACATTGTGCCTGAGCTAACTACTATCAAGAGGATCAAATTATTGTGAAAATAACCTATTTTAACCTGTAAGTCAGGGCTATGTGAAGCTACCTTACTGCAGGTCAGCCCCTTCAAGACTTGCCGTGAGTATTTTTAGGTCTAAGAAGGAAGTTTTTTGGCTGAAGAACAACAGAATGACCTTTGGTGAGATTATTAGGATCCCTAAAAATGAGTAGTGTCATGCAATTAAAACCAACACCAACTAGAGATTTTAATCCCAAAAGCTACAGGTTAGATTATGGTCATGATAGAAAAAGAAAAGAGTAGGACTCGAATTTTGCCAGTAGCTCTGTGACTCTGGCAAATAATTAATCCCCACACCTCAGTTTCCTCACCTTTGAAGCACCTGTAAGATGTTTTTCTACTCCAGGGATTATGAAAAAAGAACACAGCATATATGGGTCTTTTGAGCTTATAAATTGAAAATGCAAAATATAGGTATTATAGGGCACAGTCTCATAAAAATTAGGATTCCACAAAGCTCCCACTTCAGAAATAGAAGAGGTCATTCAAAATTAATTTACCACAAGAGGATGGCTTCACTTCCCCGCTACTTAGGAATGCTGTTAAGATGTGAAAACGATGAATGTTTTATTTTTTTATTTTTTTTAAATATAACTTATTATCAGGTTAGCTAACATACAGTGTATACAGTGTGCTCTTGGCTTTGGGAGTAGATTCCCATGATTCATCGCTTACATACAACACCCAATGCTCATCCCAACAAGTGCCCTCCTCAATGCCCATCACCCATTT